TAAGGTATCCGCGGTAGAAACCATAAACTACCTCTGTGCCGTCATTCGGGAAAACAACTACTAGGTAGGTATGACCGTGATAAACATCAAATGACTACATACGCGATGCACACAAGATGGGCAATTTCTCTGCAATGGCCGGTTCTACAAACAAATAGATGGTGTGACGATAGGCTCACCATTTGGTCCGTGTCTCGCACATGTGTTTATGGGCAAGATCGAAAAAAACGTATCTAAGGGACATCATCAATAAGCTTGCATTTTACGGTCGATTTGTGGATGATATCTTCTGTCTGAAAAACTACAACACTGACACTAACGACCTGGTCGCGATCTTTAATAGCACACACCCATCGTTTACATTTCCTGCAGAGATTGAAGTAGACCATGAAATTGCGTTCCTTGATGTTCCTCTGTGAAGGCAAAATGATGGAGCTATCCTGCGTAGGGTTTTCTGAAAGAAAACCTGGACGGCATAATACATCAACTTTCGCAGTTTTGTTCCCTAAATATTAAGCGAAATCTAGTCCACGGATTAGCAGCTAGAGTACAAAGGATCCGCTCGACAGCTTGCGAGCGCTTACATAGGCCTACGGTCAAGGGTGCAGAGATCCTTCCATACTAATGCATAATATTAGTCGATGAGAAAGCATTGCAAAGAGAGCTGTCGCCAGCAAGCAATTTTTACTCAGGCATAGAAACATGTTAAAAGCCATCATGGTCGAAAAATATGCAATAAATGTAGCTTTTTCCTGCTACACGATGCCGGCAGAAGCAAAAAACAACGGTCTGCATTCCTGAGATCACAAATAGAAGTGGAGGAAAAATCTTGAATGGAATATATTGTTCAATGAGGAAATTATATGGGTTAAATTATGCCTACTCAACTGATTAAAGTAGGTAGTTAGTGTAAGCGCAGACTTGGATTGATGGGGTGACCGGTGACCAACTAGGAACCACGAGGTAGACGGTGGGGTAGGGTACTGACGCGCCTTCAGCTTTCCTCATTGGGCACCAACAGATCTTCCATACATGCCTCCATACCCTGCCATCGTTGCAGCATAGTCTCCACCTGTGTCATCTGCTCCTGACATTGCTGTTGAGCGTCGGCAGACAGCTGACTGGAGAGTAGTTGGGCTTCGGCTAGATATTTCTTCGCCGCCGTAAAGTCGCCCTGATTGCCCTCCAGTAAAGCCCACTGGCAGTAAAGGCTGCAGAGGGCAGTCACGCACTCCTGCTTTTCACGCTTCGAGACCGCAGGGCTGGTAACAGATTTGAGCAGGTCGACAG